ATGCAGTAAAATAGAGTGGGCCAGTAAATAAATAATCGTTTAAATGTAGTGGTTTTGCAGGTGGATATTTCCTGATATTGAGGGAATTGCTATTAATGTTAGAAAAACTGGTGGTAGTAGAAGATACTGAGGAAAGATTTAATTACACAGAGGCAAGTCAAACGAATATCATGCCTTGCTCCATGATTTCTATGAGGAAAGTGGATTGCTAGAGTGGTATTGAAGGTAATATTTCACTCATTGGTGTCAGCTTCACCGAGGAATGTGCTGAGAGTCCCAAATGGGCTGGGTGACTCTCCACCAGCCCAGCTGCTGCACTCCCTCTGGCTCAGCCATGTGCTGGGTTAATCTGCCCGGAGGTGTCTTTTTGTTGCTGTAAATGATTATAGGTCATTTACTTGGTAATGTAACAGATGGTCTGTTTTTGTTTTCGTTTATATTAGAAAAAACTCATCCATTTGTGATGATTTAATGTGCTTTAACCATTGTGTAAAACTCATCTGTGAGGTTCAAGTGACGTCTTGGCTTTGTTTCGCTGCTGGTGTTCCCGTCACACTAACACACAAATGCAAACATATAAACAAATGTAGAACACTGTTATCTGGGACCAATGCTGCTGGGAGTGTGTGGGACAGACAGCCAATCAAAGCTGAAGAACTGCGCCCCACCTCCTGTGTGGTGTTGTTGCTCATTTGCATTGGTTGACATGTTACATTCTTATTGTACTAGTGAAGCCAATCAGTGAGAATGATAGCAATTGTAATCTGTACCTTGATGGTGGAGATAGATTTTGCTATTTTTGATATTAAAGGATTTTCAAGCCAATAATTCAGATGACTACAAACAACAAGCCAGTAGGTAGTAAAAGTCTGCAAAACCACAAACTTTTGATAAGAAATCACTATGTATCTGAGCATATAGTAAATTAAATCTGGTGACAAACTGTGTGCATTATCTGCTGTTTACTGACTGCTGCTGCTTATATAACAAGTTGTAGCGTACACACTAAACCCTCTGCAATCTCTCAACTGTGCAATAAAAGTCCAAGCCAGGAGAGATCCGACTTTTCCTGCCTGCTCTCACTACCATCCAGATGAAACTGGTTGGTGACTAGATGAGCTCAGGTTAGGAGAGGTGAGCTGCAGAGGTAAAATGCACGTCCTTGAACCTGAGGAAAGACAAACAGGTGTTAACACCCACTCCCTCTGAGGCCCTCGGGGTTCGCTTAACATATCTTGTTCTGTCAAGTTTGACTCTGACTGACCCTCAAGCCCCGAGGTGACCCAGAAACCATGACCCAGCTTTAAAAGACACACTTTCAGGTAGCCAATCAAACAGGAGGAGGTTACACTGTCACGTGGCTTGATCTTGTCAAAGTGGTTTCGGATTGGAGGGGCAACATTGGGAAATATTGCAGCTTAAATGACGATTAAAAAGAAATGGAACTTGGTAATTAATGTTAATGTTAAAATGTTAAAATTAATAAATACAAAGTTCATAAGTCTACTATCTTTTGTGCTTTTCATTTTCTGACAGGCTCTTGGTAGATGAAAGTTCAAGAGGATTTGAACGTTAGACCCTATCTAGTGTGTGTGTGTGTCTTTGGTAGATTTCAAACACACAATGACTAATTAGAAGATATCAAACAATTCATGGTTACATGGCACATTTTTAGTGTATACCCAAATGTTCTTCGACATCAATTAAATAGAAGAAAAATAAATAAGACAGCTCTACATGGAGTTTCTTTACAGAAACAAAATAGTAACGATCATCTTCACTGTATGGAGATTATACTAATAATTTCTAATTAGCTTGAATTAATATGAAAATCAGTTTAAGCACTCAGAGTGGTCCCCACCATGTATGAACCTTCATCATGTACCAGGCTGGTCCTCTGATAGCAGTTATCTTTGAGCACAACCAAAGCAATCTTGTTGGCTTTGAAAAAAAAAACCAAGAACTTTTTCTTAGTCAATCATTAACAAATACTCTCTTTTTGTGAGTTCACATGTACACACAGCAACATGCGCTTGTGTTGAGCATTTTTAGACCAAAACATACAGGGGTGTATGATCCAGAGGTCAATCAGTTATGACACCAGAGTGGTTCTCCACTTTCTTTGGCATCAAACAGGACATTCACATCTTCTCTGGTTTGATGTAGTTCACGTTTTGTTATGTTAAATCCCCTCTGACCTCTGTCTCCTATTAGATAGCTTATTATTAGATTTTCAATGCGTTGCTAGTGACATTTTAACTGTTGCTTTCAGCTAAATATATATAATTAACACGTGCCTACTATTTCAAATTAACTATTTCAAATCAGCTATTGATGCATTTGTCAACTGTTTAAGGTTTTCAGCTTATATGATGAATTAGAGTTGAAAAACAAATGATTCAGCCATAAACAAATGGTTTTGTTTTTGTTTTGTTTTTTTACTATCTATAGTTTTAGCTAAATGTCTAAATTTGTAGCTGTTTCTTAACAGTTAGGATATCGTTGTTAACTGTTAGCTGTTTTCTTTAGCTATCAAGTATTTTAATAATTTCAGATTGCCTGATAATGGTTTCATCTATTTTTTTTGCTTTACATTTAAATTACAACATTACTTTCAGCTAAATATCTCTAATTAGCCAGGGGTGGGAGTGGGAGGTTGTTTGACTGTTTGTGTTTTATATTTCTTGTTTTTGTTTTTACCTTTGGCTTAATATTTAACAGTACATCAGTTAAAAACAGTACTTTTATAGCTTTTAATATCTTAGCTAACAATCTTAAGCTATTAACTCTTTGTCCATTATGTTAATCTACTATTTATATTTTTCTCTATGATAACGATACAATAAATGTTTCGTAGATATTTTGTTGACTTTGATTTACATATAGGGGACTTTCACATACTTCGCTGAAGAGGTATGTGCCACCCTGCCAAGACCTCTTGTCCCTCCTTTGCCCCCTTTGTAAAATTTTCTAGCTGCACTATGCTAATTTATATTACCTTTAAATATTTTAACTATAAACTATATAATAGATAGTTCAGATATCTTAGCTAGATAGCTCTGCAGAGGTTAGGTGAGCATGCTACTTATGTGAGTGGTATTTATTTGTAAGTCAACACAGCTGTTTCTCATTTTCGCCTACCCCCCTGTATTTCCTAAAAATTCCAAATTCCTCTCTTGTGTGCATTCCTGATTATCAGTTGTTTTCACTAATTTCATCAAGCTGATTATTATTGCAGAGCTCTTGTTTTCAGCTATAAGTTCCACAATGCATAATACATACATCAAATCTGCTTTAAAAGTCCCAAATCTGTCAGGAAGAGTGATATTTTATTCACTACAGGAAGCTAGTTAAAATTCTCGTCTCATTTCTCAAGGCCAACTCAACACTGACTGAAATTAGAGCCAGATGATGGAAAGACGTAGAGAAAAAGGATTGGCCCACTGCACTCTTGTTGCATTTAATGGGACAAGAAACAGAGTCAGAGCCATTTTTCTGTATGTTAATGTTTGTGCAAGCATGTATTGTGTTTGTATTTATATGTGTGAGGATAGTGAGGATCTTTTCCTAAGCATCCCTTTATAGCTCCTAATATTTTGCAAAAACACAGACATGGTGAATCACGTAAAGGTCATCAGGTATCTAAGAGACATATCTTCATTAATTTGATCTTCTCTCCGGACATGGTTTGATATTTTCTGCAGTTGTATACAAAGACAAGAGCCCCAGGCTGGGACTTGGATGGAAAAGTGCATTCAGGCAACAGGTGACTGTCTTCTCTAAACCTAATTATTGGCAATGAAATAAACTAATTATATAGAACTGAACCAAAGTACAAATTTCAAGTATTTCTTCTTTTTAAAATGTCTTTTGCTTTTAGAGTGTTTTTTCTTTAAAGTTGTGACTTTATTGGGACTTGGAGATTTCAATTAGAGAATACAGTCATAAAAAAACAGGTATGTTTGCTCATGTAGTGGAGTGGAGTTTTGAGGCAGTATTTTTTAACCTTAATTTTCCCTTTAATTTAATTTCTATTTGAATTGCACTAATAATTCAAATCAGATGTTATAAATAGGACACTTATGATGAAGGTGACTGTTTTGTGCCCTTTAAATCAAATGTGTCTTTATATGGTACATTTTTGGGGTTGGTATTTGTAGTTATTAAACTACTGGCAAATGTCTACATGATGAAATGAATCGTAAGCTTGAAGTATAAAGCTTAAATAAGCTTAAAGAAGTATAAAAAAGAAGTATAAAATTCATAAGCAGCTCAAGTGTATTCGAAGAAATGTTGGTCAATTTCCAGCTGCAGTTTAATAAAATGTAAAATCAGGAAAACGTATCAAATTCAAATGAATGAATATAAAATCATTTTGGTCAGTACACCAAATAATGAACTACACTGTAAAAGGAAACATTAAAATGTAGTACAGTGTTCTGTTTTTAATTTGTTTCCATATTTTTGAAACCACAGATTAATTTTTTTTCTATTTTATTTATTGATTTAGTTTTACTGTTTAACTTTTAAAGTTTCTCTTATTCATAAGTCCTTTCTAGTAATTTTTTGTCTTTTCACCACAGCAGTGTAAACTGATTTACTTGAATGATGTAAACACAAGTAATTGCATCATTTTCCTGCTAACAACAGCTACCTTTCTCTTTCTGTCCATAGGCTACCCTAACTTGGCTGTCCCACCTGTGTGTTGTGGGGGGTAGGGGAACTCCTTCTCAAAGATGTTTCTGCTTGGACACGGAAACGTCACGCCCTGAAGCAGAGCAGTCAGAGCTGGTGGAGATTGAAAACACACTATTGAACCTTATAATGTTTACAAAGACAAACAAGCAGTTTGAGCTGAAATTCCCTCCCAACATCCACTCCCCCTGGAATGGACTGTCCCATGGATTCACATGATGTGTGTGTGTGTGTGTGTGTGTGTGTTTGTGTGTGTGTGTGTGTGTAAATGAGTTACAGAATGCGTGTGTGTCCCCTTAGCCATATATATTGGGCCATGTGGACACAGATGTGAAGTTTGCAGGACAGATTTCGCTTTGGCTGCAGGGCTGTTGGCCTCTCTTTCTTTTATCTTTCTGGTAAAGAAAGCCAGTAGGAATATAAAGCCACCTTAGGATCTCTCTGCACTGGAAATTGAATAACCTTACCCCACAGAAAAAATGAGTGATCATCTGGAAGATGGTTCTTTCATGTTCACTTCAGAGTCCGTTGGAGAGGGACATCCAGGTGAGCCTTTTTACCAAGTCTAGCCACCTCTGTTACAGTGACATTAAATTTTAATGCATTCAATTATAAGCTCAACACTTCCATTGATATTGCAGTGTTATCTTGCGGAAATAGCATGCATATAAATAAACTTGATGCAAGCTGGACACTATGTCCAAAGTAACTCCACAGTGCTGCGTGTTTACCCGCCAGGCATGGATGGTATTCCATTCACAGCAACATGTGTTTAGTGGCCTTCACTCTCACTTGTAGGCAGCTGGAAGCAAATGTGTGTCTGACTGGTGCACAGTTACATGCTTAAAAAATGTCCAAGAAGAGGGCAGACACACAAGTTTAATGTAGTGTGCAAAAGAAGAGATCTAAAGACACGCAAAATACTCTTCAATGTCTCAAGTACACAATAAGATAAAAAGTGACAATGTGGTAAAATTAATTTGACTATGTTATACTTTAATCTAGTTAAATTATATCAAATACTCAGTAAAATTATTCCCAGATGTTCCACACAAACCTTGCTTAACTTGTAGTTGTACTCTGTCCTCCATGTTGCCTTTAAACCCCACGGTGCCCCGTCAATGTGTTGTAATCCTTTCACAAACATGTAACCTTTCAAAGTCCCATGTGCTAAATCGATAATGAGTAAGAGTTGTGCAGCTTCACAGATAGTGGCAGTATTACATAAATGCTGACTGTTAAAAAATTAAATAAATAAAATAATTAAAAAATGAAACTCTTTTAATCTGGATTCATATTAATGTAGTTCTGAAGTAAAAGTATGCTAATCTGACAAAGTGCTTATGAGAGGATGAAGCATACAAAAGGTAATACCAATGCGCCTTAATTCAAAATCTCTTTCAAACTGTCCTCTGAAACAGCAAGTGATGTAGATCCATGTGTCACATCATGGTGTCCCTGTATTTATCATTTAAGGAGGTTCTTTTAAAAAAAAAAAAAATTTACATTTTGGAAGCGCGTAGCACTCCTGAAGCCAATTTTAATGATAAACTTCACAGGTCTGAAGTTTTACTTCTACTGTTTGCACAGTAACAGAGTTGGGTGGCCTTGGCAGAACATTGCAGTACACACTTTAGAATTTGATAACACAACTCAAAGTCTGGGCTGTTCCCACAGATAGTGGCCATTTTAGTGGCTTTTCCTAAGATGCACTTTTTTCACCAGCAGACTAGTCAGATGCTGATGGGCTTTCTGATGTAACCGGTCTCCTGCATTGCTTCAGCAGGACGACACAGACAGATGAATGGGATGTATAGTGAGGCATTGTCCTGCTGCCATGCTAAAGTAAAACATTCAACTACTGTTATGTGAGATATTAGGATGTAACCTTTCATACTTTCATATAAATTACAAAATTGACATCTTCTATTATTAGTGTTAGGCTAAGCGTGCAATTTAAAATGCAATATGTCGTTTTTTCCAATGCGTTTGTAAAAAATCTTCGGAATCTGATGTTTTTACCTGTTATGTGTCCACAGACAAGATTTGTGACCAGATCAGTGATGCTGTCCTGGATGCACATCTGAAGCAGGATCCCGATGCCAAAGTGGCCTGTGGTGAGCCAGAATTTGTCTCTTTTTCCGTTAAAAAAAATTGGCAAAACCAAGACGAAGCACAGTCTAATGAATCAGTTTGTCTTAACAAAAAAAGGGACCACATGATGAAGGCAGAGTATAAGCCAACTAACCCATTGGTCTGAATTTCACCTGGATTTTATGTCGTATGCAGTGTTGATACTGTTTATTGTATTTCAGTGTTGACAACTTGCTGGTGATGGCAAAACAGCTTTGTAATTAAAGTTTGTGTTGGCAGAGACGGTGTGTAAGACTGGCATGGTGTTGCTCTGCGGAGAGATCACATCTCGGGCCGTCGTGGACTATCAGAGGGTGGTGAGGGACACCATCAAGCACATCGGCTACGACAACTCGGAGAAAGGTGAGAAAGCAAAAAAATAGACATTATTTCTGTTCTCTGTATTTAGCGTTTCCCTCTTAACCATCTCAATCCAATTCACTTCCCTTCTGAAGGTTTCGACTACAAGACATGTAATGTGCTGGTGGCCCTGGAGCAGCAGAGTCCAGACATTGCTCAGGGGGTCCATGTTGACCGGAAAGAAGAAGACATTGGAGCTGGAGACCAGGTAGGGCCACAGCAGTGTCACTGGGTCACTTTGGCTTGACAAGTGAGTGACCCTGACCGAGCACAGTTTGTTTGACTCTTTACTTCAACAGTAGAGAATACAGACGAGATCTGGTGCAATAGTGTTGGTGTGTTCAGGTTTATCAGTTCAGTAGAGGTGGAAAAAGTAGTTTTATCTAGTCCAATATTTAAAATACTAAATGTTACAAGCTGATTGTAAGGCAGAAAAATGTGCTTCGTGGCTGATATATCATTATTAGATTCGATAAGTGTTTATGTTACTTTTGCAAATAAATTTATTGTAGTATAGTAAATAGGGTCCCCAGCCAAGGGTTTGTGGCTCTTTAAAGGGTCACAAATTTGAGGATAAAACTTTGATGTGTAGAGGGGAAACTTCCTTTTCATGAAATTGCTCACAGTCTTTAAGTAATCTGAAGCATGATTAAAAATATGTCCAGTATGTCGTGGAGTAGAAGTGTAATGCAGCAGAGAAAGGAAATAATTAAATTATACAATTGTATATGAGTGCAGTACTTGAGTGAATGTTATTTCTTTACAAAAGATAAAGAAATAACATGTTTAGATGAAATTGATGCTTTCTCTGCATTATACCTCAGTAAGAGACAAACTCACAGCTCAGGATCATTATTTCTATAAGAGACTTCTGGCTGAAAAAAATTATCCTATGCTTAAGACTAATCAATGAAATATGGAGTAATTTGACTATATTATATATAAAGTCCCATAACCATACACGGTATAATCTACCTGATATTTGTTTTTATCATTTCAACATCTACTTCTATTTTGTCTTCTATAAATGCCTGTATAACCATTAGCCATTATGTATAAGTATTATTTTAAAAATGTTCTTTTCATAGCTTATATTTTATGTATTTTGTGTCATATGATAATAGAAAGTGCTGAAGTTATTACTGATAAAAGAGCATGCTGAATATCAGTATTTTGATATTCCTTGTTTACTTCTTTGTTTTGCCTTCACTGATTTTCTGACTCGTACTCTCCTCTGTAGGGTCTGATGTTCGGCTATGCCACAGATGAGACGGAGGAGTGCATGCCGCTCACCATCGTCGTAGCTCACAAACTCAATGAAAAGATGTCTGAACTTAGACGCAATGGCATCGTTCCCTGGCTGCGTCCCGACTCTAAAACACAGGTGAGGTCGTGCAACATGTGCACATTTTTTACTTACCCAAAACACAACACCACAGCAGTTTGGGAATTTTTTCTTTCAAGCTTGGATATATTTCATTAGAAAATTTGATAACCTGTCTGAAGCTGTGTTGTCACAGGCACCATAAAACAGCTAACTACAGCTTCAGCAAGTGTACCAATTCTTGTTAATCCCACAGGTGACCGTGCATTATGACCAGAAGGATGGAGCTGTGATCCCCAAGAGAGTTCACACCATTGTGATCTCTGTCCAGCACGATGACGGCGTCACTCTGGGGGAACAACAGAGAGTCCTAATGGAAATGGTAGATCCTCATGGACACACTTGACTGGGCTCTGTGTAATGTGTCGTGTGGGGAATAAAGTCACATGTTTGGTTTTAATGCTGGCTTGTTTCTGTCAGGTGATCAAACCCGTGGTCCCTGCAAAATATTTGGACAGCAAAACCGTCTACCATCTCCAGCCAAGTGGTCGCTTCGTCATTGGAGGACCACAGGTAATCATCACATACTGGGGGAAAATAATAAAGCAAACTAGAAAGTCATCACTGGTTTTTGCTCATCTTCTTCCTTTTTTTGCAAACAGGGTGATGCTGGTGTAACAGGAAGGAAGATTATTGTAGACACATACGGTGGCTGGGGGGCTCACGGTGGCGGAGCTTTCTCTGGCAAAGATTTCTCAAAGGTTGATCGCTCTGCTGCCTATGCTGCTCGCTGGGTGGCCAAGTCTCTGGTTAAAGCCAAACTGTGCAGGAGAGTTCTGGTTCAGGTGAGGTTACAGCTTAACCCTCCAAAGCTGTGCATAGATGACAGATGACTGGAGTACAAATATGCAAACCACATCTCTGTGTGTGTTCCAGGTGTCTTATGCGATCGGAGTGGCCCAACCTCTTTCCATCTCCTTGTTCACCTACGGGTCCTCTCAGAAGTCAGAGTCAGAATTGCTCAAGATTGTCAACAAGAACTTTGATCTCAGGCCAGGAGTCATTGTCAGGTAAAAACATATGACTTTTGCATAAGATGAAATATGAATATTTACTCAAACATGAAGATGTTCTGCTTCCTTTCTAAATATGAGTTAAAAAAAAAATAGGAACTACTTTTGGCATTTTGAGGATTAAATAACTGATCAAAAATCAGATTCATCATATATCTTGATGAATTTAGAATATAGAATAGAATAGTATAGAATAGAATAGAATAGAATAATCCTTTAATTGTCCCACAAGGGGGAATTTGGTTGTAACAGCAGCCAGAAAGACACATATACAAACAAACAGTACACAGGACACAGAACGGAAATATACACAATTTTTTTTCTTACATATTTACATCAAGGACAATGGTTACTATAAACAGAGTACTGTACAGTTATTAAATAAAATAAAATTAAAAACAGATAAAAGGCAAACCCAGGTTGTAGTGCGAATCGGTTGATTAAATTATTGCAGTTACAGCGCAGATGTAAACATCTATGATTGTTGGGAGCAATTTTGATTGTACAGTCTGACAGCTGCAGGGAGGAAGGACCTGCGGAAACGCTCCTTCATGCATCGAGGATGCAGCAGTCTGTCACTGAAGGAGCTCTGCAGTTCAGCAACATTTACATGAATTTAATATATAAGTAAATATTATATAAATATTATTATATAAGTTCAAACTTCAGTTCAACTTTATTTATATAGCCCCAATTCACAACAACAGTTGCCTCAAGGTCCTTTATTCTGTAAGTTAAAGACCATACAATATTAGAAAGACCCCTAACAATGACTAAGCATTTGGCGACAGGGTGAAGGAAGAACTTCCTTTTAACAGGAAGAAACCTCCAGCAGAACCAAGCTCAGGGAGGGGCAGCCATATGCCACGCTGATGCATTTGGCAGGGGAAGAGGGGAAAGAGAAGCAAACTAAGAGAGAATCACACCAAAAACCAAAGTTGAAATTGTTGAAGTATAGTTAGATACAGAAAATTCTTCCTCTTTTCTTTTCTTTTTTTTTAATACTATCCATTGGAGAGGGAATCGTGGCGGACACATAACCCTGGTGGCTTCACAGACATGATATCCTTTTTGCTGTCCTTTTACATTTAGATTCTTCCACTTTTAGCTGATCCTTTTAGGATAATTTCCCTCTATTTAAACCTAGCCCTAGATTTCCCTTATCTATTATAATGTTCTTGTTGAGATGCAGTGTTATAGGTGAGCATTTCATTTTAAAGTGGATCTATTATGCTGTTTGTTTGTTTTTTCCATCTTCACTCTACTAATGTAGCTTTGCATGATTCACATATAAAAATAATGATTTATTTGATAATAAGCTTTGGTGCAGCCCTTTAGTTCATCCTCTGTATGAAATCAAACGTAACCCTCTTTCTTTTGATTGGCTGCCCCTCCAACAGGAACACAGCATCCACTCTAACTGATATAGTACAGAGCAAAACAAGAAGAAAGTTGTGTTTTGAGATGTTTTACCAATATGAACATTCATCATTGTAACAGTATATATATATAACAGAAAGTAACTTAAAGCACAATAGGCTCAATTTAAAGTACTCAACAATAACAACTACTTTTAATCGATTTACCAAAATCGCTAATTGTTAAGAGCCGCATAACCAAAGACTTCATTTTGGTTCAAGTGTTTAAGAGTTCTGTAATCGATAAATGTTGGAGGTTGATCCAAAGTGCAGTACAAGTCATTCTGACACACAGACAAACTTTGCCACCCATGTACGCCAAATACAAACAAAAAACTCCAAGCTCACAAGAGGACATGCAAACAATCAGTGCTTACAGCTCATTGCACAACATGTTTGACCTTTATGTTTTTTTTCTACTCTGTATAAGAATTTATGGCTTCAAATGGTTTTGATCAAAATCTTCACAGTCCTTTCTCACCAGCGATGTCTCATCTCTTGTGTGTTCTTCTTAGGGATCTGAACCTGAAGAGGCCGATTTACCAGCAGACAGCCTCTTACGGCCACTTTGGCCGACCGGAGTTTTCTTGGGAAGTGCCCAAAAAGCTTGTCTTGTAAATACTCCACCAGCCTGTCCTGATCTCCACCTGGATGCTGAACAAGACTCCTCTTCATGGACTACAACTTCCAGCACCAATACAACTGATTGAACACTTTTGTAACAGAAAAACAAAACAAAACAACTGAAACTAAAGTTAGGGAGGGATAAGTCAGCTTTCAAGATGTGAGAAGGTAGTTATACGTGTGAGCAGTTGTAGCCAGCAGACATATGAAGGGACATCCTCCCAGTGAGGAGAGGGACATTGCAGATGGCATCTCAGTAACTAATCTTTTTTCACTGTCCTTTCTGAGGCCAAATAACATCCAGGTATCGGTGCTTTAAAAATACACATACAATCACTAGTCAAAGTCAGTAAAGTAAAGGGACAGTACAATAGTAAAATATAAATACTTCCACATCACTAGCAGCAGTGTTTTACCTCAAAGCTGTGAATTATTAGTTTTGTTTTGTTTCGGGGGTTTTTTTTTTTTGGGGGGGGTGTAATTACCCCCATAAGAGGTGTAATTACTGCTCAACCAAAAACGTGGCTTAAGAAACCTTATTGTCATGACTATAAAAAACTGTTGTAAACGTGCCACAGGAAGTTCTTTGCACTACTACCATTCCCACTGTGTGAGATAACAGGTCAAGTTCGGATCTCTGGAGGCATAAATTATAAGTCAAAATGTAAAATAGCCTTGCGGCTATTTCAGCCTTTCTTTTTTTTCTTTAGTACTTGCGGGCTTTCTGCTGTAAATGTGGCTCAACTTAGCAAATAATTAGAAGTGTGAATCTTAGTCTGAATCCGTTAGCATTTAGCGGACCACCGATGTCTTAAATTTGCTGTGTTTTACAACTTTAGAAGCACACACTAGCATATATCACACTTCTTTAAAAAATACCTTTAAGAATATTTCATTTTGGCCCAGCTTTTTGGCATTTATTAATGACAGAGTATGTAATTAGATCCTTGAGAAGCACTTCTGATGGGATTAAGAAAGTCTTAAGAGAGAAACAAAAACCTCAGGACTTCAGGGACGTTTTGGTGGCGAGTGTACCAAACCTGTAAGTTCACCTACAGCTGACACTGTTTTGTTATAGGGGTTTTCCTCTGTTTGATGTCTTATCTATGAGTGTCACCTTCTGTCAAT